TAAGAGGGTGAGGGGAGACAAGTCAGCTGCCTTGAAATGCAAAAATTGAAGCATGTTTGGGGAAAGGATTCAGCATTATAAAGACACTTCTGTGTGTATTTGAGAGCTTCTGTATGCAGGCTTGTTACTTGAGCAGTTGCTGGGTTACAGAATCCTCAACCACCAGAATTTAAAAATGGCACTTATTTCCTGTCTTCTAGGTCCTGTTTGGCTTACTCACTGGGGCAGAGAATCAGTATACCACTAGAAGCAATAATTTGAGCTCCCAGGAGCCTCACAATATCTTGCCATTAGCATCTAGTCAAATCAGGTAATTTGCTCATGATGCAGATCTCACTTTTTTAGAAAGCAAAGTGTCTTGAACGGATACTTCAGTATGACTGAATGCATTTCCGTATTTCTCTCTTTAAGATTTGGACTTCTACCGCTTAGTATGTCAAGCTCTCGAAAGACTAAATCTGCTGTTAAAAACACAGAAAATCAGACTCAGGTTGGTGAAGTTGTTATAAACCCTCCTACTCTTACCACAGATCCCTACTGCGTTCCCAGAGCAGAGAAGCAGCATTGTAAATAAGGGTTCCAGGCTTGCTGAGGATAACTTTAAAAAAAAAAAATTTAAGTCAGCAGTCCCTTGTAAGAGACAAGTACTCTTCCACCAGTCCCAAGTATGACTGCTTTTTTAAAAAATACTGTACAAATCCTAATCCTCACATTCGATTTGCAAGTAAGTAATCACCCCCACCCCTTTTGTTTTATTAACAGAAAACCTGATTAGCTCATTTTTCATAAGTGATTTGCCAAAAGCAAGTCCGGTAGCACAAAATTCCAGCCCTCTAGCCCCCAGCTGACAGATCATGGCGTGTAGTGATTTAAGTTTATGCACTGAAGACTTAAAATTTAGCTTCTTCATCTGTATTTAAGAGAAGTAGTAAGGAACATTAAGCTGTTAAGGGATGCTGTCTAACTATTTTATAAACTTCATTCCAGTTTGACAACGACCTGTACTCCTGAAGAAATCTTGCTTGGGTATTTAAGCTTGTGTGCATTCTGAGTGGCTTGCTTCACCTACAACAGCATTTAGTGTTGTCCAGTTGCTCTGTATTAAATTTTATATTAACATAAAATATATACATGGATACCCATTCCCCGGGGTCCTGTGCTGAGGACTGGGAGAGCCAAGGAATACCTAGCTGCTCCAGGAAGTGGTATTCCTAAATGCACTCATCCCTCCAAGTCAACAGTGAACCTATACCCCAGTATGGTGCAGTAGGGCACAGGCCTGACTGCTTGTATTCGATAAAGATCCACTGCTCTTTTATAAGAGTAGAGACGTTTACCTAAATGGGAGCTAACCTATCACATTCTGCTACTACATGGAATTCAAGGAGAGAACATCTTGGCTTGAGTTGTTCCAAACAGCACACTTGTTTCAAAACAATTCAACTTTAAAAAAGATATTCTTGACCTCCTGCCCCCAGCGTATCTAGTGTCGTTTAGAAACAGAGTGACGTGTCTTCCATAGCTGCCCGTGTGTTACTAGTTGTGGCTGCAGTGATGCGTGTATATGTTGTTTCATAGAAAGCCCCTTTTCTCAATTACTAGCAGATATGCTCTCTCTGCCTTTTCTCAGATCCTATTATATAGTGAATTGTGCAAAGATTGTATAGAGTACTTAATCAAAAACCATTGTCTAGGTATAAAATACCATTGTTGCCTTTATCGTTTCTAAAGCAAGAGAGAAATGGAGTAGCCACCTTTCCTGGGCTAGGCAATAAAACCAATCACATGAAGTGATTCTTACAAATCTTAAGTAGATAACAGCATACCAATCGAGTTGCACATGGGAAGAGAGCAGCTCTACGATGCCAGAACCTAGAACAGGGTTTAGCAACCTTTCAGAAGTGCTGTGCCGAGTCTTCATTTATTCACTCTAATTTAAGGTTTCGTGTGCCAGTAACACATTTTAATGTTTTTAGAAGGTCTCTTTCTAGAAGTCTATAATATAGAACTAAACTATTGTTGTATGTAAAGTAAACAAGGTTTTTAAAATGTTTAAGAAGCTTCATTTAAAATTAAAATGCAGAGCCCCCCGGCCCACTGGCCAGAACCCAGGCAGTGTGAGTGCCACTGAAAATCAGCTCGCGTGCCGCCTTTGGCATGCGTGCCTTGGTTGCCTACCCCTGACCTAGAATCCCCTCTCCAATACTAGAAATGTAGTGTAGATAAGGCTTAATAGGTGGAGTAATCCTGTACATGTAGTGGGAGAGGCAGGGGTTCAGGTTGGACTCAGTTACATACCGTTCCTGATTCTCTTACCTTACTGTGCCTCCCTGCAGCTGCTAACTACTGGCTGGGTGTGGCATCAATGTAAGAGGCAGTATAACAGTCACCGATTCTCTCATTTTAAAACAAACAGGTTCCACCTCCTTTGGTCGTAAGAGCAGAAGAGGAAACGTTCCGCCCTGGTTCCTTGTTCAGACAGCTGGCAACAGAGGAGGAAGACACAGCTGCACCATCCCTGTTCAAACTGGGTTGGCTCTCTAGCATGACCAAGTGAGCTAATAAAAAGATGAAACACTTAAGTTTGCCTACACATTCATTTCCTCTCAGAACACACTCGCCCAGGCCTGTACTGGCTAAACTGCTCAGGATTAGGTAGTAAGAAAATAAGACAGCATGCTTTTATCCCTTTCCCCCAGCCACAGTATACGTGTTATAGTGTTTAAACTAGAAGTAGGTTAAGATATTGCAGTGTGACTACTGAAGCAATAAGTTAACAAAATGCACTTACCCTTCCTTCTCCCCCTCTCCCAGTTTTATCACTTAACCCTAGGTAAGGGAAGAAGAAAAATTCATTCATATAAACTCAATATCTTCTGGAGGGTTGAAATCAGCTTTCCTTTTACTGTGGATCTCAGAGTGGCGTGGCATAGCATGCTTTCTGAACATACCCAATACTACCTGCCTCTCAAGTGGTTATATGCTGAAGTTCTTTTCATAACAAACAGCTGAAATTCAAGCTTTCTGCCTTGTTCTAGAGAAGGATTTTCTTGTCTTACTGTTGCATGACAGACTAAACAAGCTAAGCTACATGAGTTCTCCAGTTATAGTAATCATGGGTGGTGCTTGTAACACTAGACATTTTCAGTGAACGTCCCTTTAACTACTCTCAACTTTTGCAAATAATACTTGACCATGGAAACTTGTTCACTAGTTTATTGAAATTAAAAAAGATTTATAAAACTGAAGATGAACGTTTGAAAGGACTTTACATAAAGCAACAGTTGCTAACAAACAGATTAGGCAGTCAATCTGAATTGGACTCATTATGCACGCCTATAATACAGATGTGGGTTCCTCAGACTCATCGTACATGTATTTGATACCAACCCCAAAAAATAATCCTATAAAAATTGCTTCAAAGCCCCTTTTGCATTGCAATAGTGCAGCAAACCACAAGTAAACAATTTCCTGTTAACCTGTTATTTCAAATATAGACTGAAAAGGCAACAGGCGTTTTGTGCAATTTCATTTTAACAAACTTTAAGTTGAAATATCAAATCTACACAGTGCTGTCCCTTCACAGAAGGCAAGGAACTGCTGGTTCATCATGTAGGAGGGCGTCCACGGTTCTGTAAGCTGTGAAAGTGTGCCTCCTTCAGGATCTGGTTGATGTGGAAGTAAGGACCTTGACTTAGTGCAGACTGCTCATGGAAGGATGGGGGGGTAATAGGACTGGATGCTGCAATTATCTGGTTTAAGCTGGTTTCTGGACCACTTCCTCTGTCAGGGCTGTTGATGCTACTGCTACTGCAACTGCTGCTGCTATCACTGCTGGAGGACTATGAAACAAAGAGAAGGTTAACAGGAAGGTAACATTTACATTTTTCTCCTATGCATATTTATACAGCTTGATTAAGAAATTTTTGTTCTCAATATCTCCCTCCCACAGAGTTTCATGGGTCACACGTAGGCCGATGGACAATTCAGGAAGTAAATCCACTGAATGCCAAGAAGGCACATTCAGTTGCTTTAGTGACTGTCAGACCAATGAGAAATTTCAGGAAGTCCAGGTGATGTGCAATTGTGTCCACTAACCACTAGGGCTGTTTGACCCAGCTTATTGAAAAACCACAGGTTAACAGTTCTTTAATCAGGTGCTTAGACTTCACAACTGAATTTTAATAAAATTTTTGCCTGCTAAGAACTGGAAGAGAAAGAACAAGATTTTAGTAAGTTTCATGTGTCTCTAGAGCTAGGTGAAAAGTTTCATAAAATTCCCCTTTCCCATTTGTCAAAATTTGGTTTGAAACAAGTTCAGAACAGCTATGCATGTTACATGAAGCACATATGAATTGAAACATACAAAGTGACGTGAGACTTGAAAACATTAATGCACGAGGGTACTTGGGGTATACTTGCAGCACATTTCCACTATTGTTTACAAGTTAGATTTCAATCCCGGTTCTTAGTTTTCTGCACCATAATGCACTTTACACTGCAGTATTGCAGTGAGAAACAGTTACAGAGATCTCGATACATTAGCCTCAAGGCTATTAAGCAGCAAGCCACTAAATCACTTTCACATGCAGAAAGTAAGACAGAACTCATGATTTGGCTTGCATAAGAGGACAGTGTTTTTCTTTAACCAGATTAAAATGTGTATACGCTTTCTAATGGTCGTGACACCAATCAAATGTTGTCAGTATTCCACACACACAAAGTGTATTTTCTGTGTTTCAAGAGACATCAAGTGGTTTAGGCTAAACAAGTTTAAGGATAGCCAATATTTTCATGGATTTGCTTTAGTTGCAGTTAAACAGTTTCCTGTTTTGTTATTCTCGTGCATTGTTCAGTGCTTGAGAATCAGAAAGTGAAAATATCTAATTTGTCATCCACTGTGAATTAAACTTAAGTGAGCTTTATAAATAGTAGACTTTAAATATTCTTTAATCTAAAAGTATTGTTAGTAAATTAAAGAAATTTTTTAAAAAAAATTCGCCTGAAAGTGTCCCTTTATCTTGGCATACATTATTTTGGCCAAAAGGAAGAGAAATGTTGACAAATATCTACATATCCCTGTAACAAGTCCATCTTGTCCCCCAACCCTTAGCTTGATTACAAAGCCACTACAGATTTTTGTATGAGGTACCATCATACAACTAATGTTTGTACTGTATAAATCAAGATTCGGCAGCCATTATATAACTTATTTTGGTGGAGTACCATTTCTTTAGAACAGTCAGCAGCAATGTTAAGTCAAGCCCAATAAGATACACCTCTACCCAGATATAACGCGACCCGATGTAACACGGTAAAGCAGCGCTCCGGGGGGCGGGGCTGCACGCTCCGCTGGATCAAAGCAAGTTCAATATAACACGGTTTCACCTATAACGCGGTAAGGTTTTTTGGCTCCCGAGGACAGTGTTAGATCGGGGCAGAGGTGTACATCTAGTGTGTGTTTGTACTCAAGGAGGCATAACCTTGAAAGAGAGTCTACTACACACTGTAGGGGGTTTACTCCAAGATCTGGAGCAGTGCTTGCTCACAAATCTCAGACTGCAACAGAAGCCACTTACATAATCAGCCAGAATTATCCAGGCTCA